CCGCGCGGCGCGGGGGGGGCGGCGGCGGCGCCCGCCCGGGGGGTCCCCGCCCGCGAGCCCCCCCGCTCCGCCCGCGCCGCTCGGAGCGCGGCGGAGACTTAAAAAGGGCGAAAACGCGAGTTTCCTGTTAACCCTCCCGCCGCCCGCCACCGCGGTCCTCCCCGCCCCGGGCGGCCCCCGGCATCGCCCCCCGGGCCGGCGCTTTTGTGGCGGCCCGAGCCCCTGCGCGGCGCGGGCGCCCCGGAGCCGCGGGGGGGGCGGTTGTTTTTATTTGCATTTCCCCCGGTTCGGCGGCTCCCCGGGGAGCGGGGCCGCAGCCCCCCCGGGCGGGCCCAGCTGGACCTGCCCGGCGCCCCAGCCCCGCTCTTTGTTTTCCCAAGTAGCTCGGGAGAGGAAAACAGGAGCGCGAGGAGTGTCCTCCTTGGGAAGCGCATGCCAGGCGAGCCCCGTAAACATATGCTTAGGCCAAGGTATAATTTCCTTGGCTAGAAATGCTTTAAGCGCAGTTTTGACCAGTTTTCTTTCTGGTAATGACCTTATGCAAATACCTTATGTTAAATTAATTAAAATTCTTTTTGGCTTTTTTTTTCTCCTTTCCAGTACTATGAAATGTCATATGGTTTGAATATTGAAATGCACAAACAGGTGAGTAATTTGAAAGGGGGAAATTCTGATTGATCTCCTGTTGCCCTTTTCTCAACCTGAGAAAAATTAGATCCTGATTGCAGTAAATGGGGAATAAGTGCTGGAGTCAGGGATGTGACTTCAGGTTAGGTCTCTTGGCCCAGAAGCTATATTTGGAACAGTAACTTAATGGCAGGCGGTGGTGGCTTTTTGGTATACGTTCAGGAGAAACTTGGGCTTTGAGAAATTGGAGATGAAAATAGCATGGACTTGCATCCTGGGGGATCTGTACCTGGATTAGAATGTTCCTTGCGTTTGRGAAACGCTCTTATCTGGTGCCTTTTCCTGCCGCTTTGTTTTTGGTACAACTTGGCTCTTTTTAAGGTCATACCTCTGATACCACACTGTAGCGTGAGACTTAGAAGGGAATTATCTTTTAGGATACTTGTGTCTAATGGTGTGTTGCTCAATGTCATGCGTTTGTCTTTGCATCTGGAAAATGAAGCAATGTTTGTTACTTCTTTTTTCTTTCTTCTTTTTTTCTTTTTTCTTTTTTTTGTCTGCTCTAATGTATAACTTGCCTGAAGGAAAAATGTAGAGGGCTATAGCAGAATGTGGTGTGCTACCTTGATAAGATTATAGCTAAAGAGCCTAAAGGCTGGGCACATGACGGTAAAACTTAAAGGAATAAAGTTATTATTGAGATTAGACCTGATTATTTGTACTGCTGCTGCTTACTGGTTTTAGAAGTAGTTCTAATTAAGAACTTAAGGCAGCTCTAAGTTGCCATCAACTTTACAATTCACAAGCCAGCCCTGTTGGGCTCCCCAGTGTTTTTTCATAATAGCAGCATGGCTTGTCCTGAGCAAGGAAGGGTTGTTTGCAGGCTGATTAAATTCAAAGCAGCCTGTCTGCGAGTCTGCCTTTCTGCACGCGGTTCTCCTCGGCTTTCTGATGCATATCCACCGAGTCACAAAAATAATTACTGCTTAGTCTTCAGTTTTTTTTTTTTTAAAAACCCATCTTCTTCCATGCAGATAATCCCGGCTGCTTTCTGTTCATTGCTTCTGCCTGCACAAAAGGGTCCTTGTGTCTCATCCCTGTCCCGCGGCCACGGGGCCTTTGTGCAGGCTGCAAGCATCCCAGGGCAGCCAGAAATATTCCCGAAGGCTGGATCTGTGCATAGGCCTCTCTGCCTGGGCCCTGGGTATCCGAAGGGAAGTGCATCCTGCCATCCCTGCCAAGGGACTGGAGTAAAGTGAGAAGTGAGCCGTGGTGAGAGCTGTTTTCCTGCCGGGAATGCATTTTACTCCCAGTCGTGCAGGGCCAGAGCTGTGCATGTGCGGAGAGGTAGCAAAATGATTCTGCAGAATACCACATTTCTCCTCGGGATGGAGGCTTTGGAAGCTGTGGATGTTTGCCGAGGCGCGGAGCATGTTTTACAGTGGGGAAAGGCTGCAAGCAAAAGCTCTTCCAAGAGCATTTGCCACCCGGGTGAGCTGCAGGAGCCCGTTGCTGCTCCTGCCTCCACAACGCGTGCATGGGATTTTCCACCTTGGGCTCCAAGATCCGCCCGGAGCGCCGGGTAATCCATAGGGTGGCCGCTCCGGTGGCACGTGGCGAGGCAGAGCGTTCGGGGTGGCTTTGGAGGGCAGGAGGAACCTGCTGCTGCTGCTTGGTGGCCGTCTCGGGCGAGCGGGGCGGCGCGCGCAGCCTGCGCCCGCGGGCTCTCCCCGTGGCGCTCGCCCCGCGCCGGCAGCGCCCGCGTGCCGCGAAGCGCCCGCCCGCCTCCGCGGGGCCCTGTGCCGCACGCTGGGCACCCGGGGCGGCCTGGGGAGGCGAAGCTGCCGCGGTCGCTAACCCACAGCACTGGGCTGCGGGAAAACAAAGCAGCCGGAGCGCGCCGGGATGCTCCGCGCGCGCCGGCATCCTCCGCTGCGGCGGCCTCGGCAACGCACCCGCTGCTAATTGCAGCCGGGTCCTGGGTGCATCTGGTTGAGGGTGGCTAGTCCTGAACAAACAAGTTTATCAGCTGACCTGTTTAGCGGTTGACTTGTGTTTATCTGCACACAATCAAGTAGACTGAAGTGCTTGAATTATTCATGCAGTGTCCTGCCCTCCAGACTTGACTGCTTGTGATTACATCTGCTTGAGACAAACATTGATGGATACTTCATCTTTAAGCAAAAGGGGATTGTCTGTCTGTAGGCTTATATAACAGATTATCTCTTCTACACTGAATATTAAGTGTGCGCATATGTGTCCGCGCGCATTCCTGCCTTTATTCTCATCTCGCTTCTTGTTAAGTGAAAAATGGAGTTTCATAAACAGCTCCACATGCAAGGAAATATTTAGGAAGTGACTACCCGCTTTGTTGCCTATAATGCAGTGAATTGCTCCATGCATCTGACAGGCTTTCTGGTGAATAAAATACTGCTATCCAAGCTTGGGCTTTCTTAAATGAGACTTTTTTTTTTCCTTTTTTTTTTTTTTTAACTTGAATGAAACTCTTTTTTTTAAGGTTAATTGATTTTTACAAAGCAACTTTCTTTCCCATGTTGTTTTGCATTGTTTTTTATTCAGATCTTCCTAGATAATCGCAAAATGCAGTCGAATGGAATAATCATTCCAAAAGAAAAACTAATTTTGGGTTGGGAAACAAGACACCTTGGAGGAGGGAACCTTTGTTCCGAACTCTTTTTTTGTGGTTATGCCTGAGAACTCTCCACATAAGCGCTTCTTGGATTTTTTTTTTTTTTTTTTTTTATTGTGCTTAAACACTTAATGCTTTGGAACAAATTTAAGCCCTCCTGACACTTGCATGAGAAGAGAGGCCTGCTTTTTTTTTCTTTTTTCTTTTTTTTTCCCCCCTTTTCTGAGACTATTCCAAGAACACAATATACTTTGTGTCGTGTTCCTTAGCAAGGAGTGCCAGGTAATAATTTGCTAAATACTTCAGAAGCCAAGTAATTTGTTACCGTGATAGCCCGGCTCTCCCGGGTGGAAAGGAGCGGTTTGGGGGCAGTTGGGGCGGCCCGGCCGGGCGCCGCGGAGCCCTGGGGCTGCGGAGGGACCCGGCGCCTCCGGCTGCCGGTAATTCCGTAATGATGCAGGGGCCGCCCCTCCACACCCCCTCCCCGAATTTAATTCTCATCAGCGCCGCTCTCCACTTTGCTAATAACGATAGCAGCCGCAAATAGCTTTCAACATGCCATTGACAGCCTGGTTGGAGAGAGCACTTGAAATAGTGGTAGACAGCTGAAAGTGCCCATAATTGTGTGCCGGAGTGAGAACCACACTGCTCAAGGGCCTTATTTTCATGTGCTTAAAGAGACAATATCCTGGTTTCAACAAATGCTTCTGGTGCTCCACCGGTGGTGTGATTTACTGCTCTCCTTCCTCTCGCCTCCTCCTCCTCGCCCCGCTTTGCTGGGCTCCGTGTGGCGGGGAGGGCAGCGTGAAGGAGCTGCCGGTTCCGTACGGAGCTGCTGGTTCCCTACRGAGCTGCGCGGCCCCTTCCCGCCCCGGGTCCTTCCTGTTGCTCTGCAGCTTTGTCCTCGCAGGAAGAGTCCCCGAGAGGTTCCTGCAGAGGAGCCGCGTGCTCAGGGGCTCAGCCCGTGTCCTGCTCTTTATCCCACGCCGTTTGCATCCCTAGGCKCCAGTTGGGAGTTTAGGGTCGGAGGTGACTCCAGTGCAACCCCAAACCTGCTATGCAAACTCCTTGAGCCCGTCCTGGTGCAGGTGTGGGACCATCTGTGGTCACCTCGTGGGGCCCCGTCCCAGTGGAGGCAGCCGCCCTCGGCGAGATCCTTATTGCCGAGCTAAGGGCAGCAGTGACGCTTTGCCCGCCGTGGCCCCGGGAATGCCCGTGGTGGCACCGCGGCCCTGCAGCTCTTCCTTGTCACACTTTAGGCGATGCTCTGGTGGCACCCCGAGGCCCCAGGGATATTTTTAAGCTGGCGCGGCCAGGTGCGCGGTGGCCGGGCCAGGGGCCACCGCGGCAGCTATTTGTCACCGAGCCGCCGCGAGCGCCGGGCACCCTGCCCCGAGCGCCTGGGGCACCGGCTTGGCCATTTTAAGGAYGGGCGGCGGCGCTGGCGGCCGGGCCGCGGCGAGAGCCGCTGCAAATGTTCTCGCTGGCCCGTCCCGCGCGCGGCTCGGGTTGCCGCCGGGGCGCAGCGGGATTAGAGGGGATTTCGGGCCCTCCTGACTCCTTGCCCTTTATAACGAGCYGGGCTGGCCCCGGGCACGGCGCTGCCTCGCGTGAACCTCGCGCCGGGGAGGCTCCTGGTGCCGGCTCCGATGTCTCCAGCCCGGCCAGAGTTCTCCACAGCTGCCACCGGGTCTGCTCTGCATGCGACGTGTCGTGGGCTCCGTGTTTCCTGCTCGCCAGCAAAACCATCCTGGGGAGCCCYGCGAGCCTCCTCCTAAACCTCGACCTGGGACAACCGGACTCCGATCCCCCTGGGAAAGGGATGAGCTGGAGCTATGCATAGAGGTTATTGAACCACATGGTAACGGGAACCCTCAYGGCTGCAAGTGCAATGTTTGGGACATGGAGTGTGCTCCTGCTTCCTGGATTTTCCACAGGAGTTGCTCCCTTTACAGACTGTGAAGCTTTTCTGCAAGTCTGTGCTGGAAGATGGAGCAAAGCCAGCCTGGGATCCAGCTGTGGTTGTTCCTGGTGTGTTGAGTCCACCTGGATGGCGGTTGCTGGTGTCCAGGGCACAGCAGGAGCCACCTCTCCTTCCTCTGTGGAGCCAACCTGTTTGGATGCTGGAATCTCCGTTGCACCCAGAGGACATTCCCGATGGGTGACCAGAGGGGCTGCTTGAGCTGGTCCCACTGTTCCCGCTCCACAGAAAGCCTGGATTTGTTCTGGAATTCCTTAGGGACTGACAAGGAAGAGTGACAGCAAGTCTTCCCATGGAGCGTTCRCCCTGGAAGGGCAACGCATTTAGCGCTGCTTGCATCTGGCCTCCATAGGCTCCCGCTGAAGGAATAAATATTTAATGGCGCTCTAGTTTATATATAATCTAATCGATACGCCGATGCCAAGGAGGCCTTTAAGGAGGTTGGCCGCTGGCGGTGCCGCGAGCGCCAGCGGGGTGCTTTGAAGCCGCCGCGCGCGCCGCCGGGTCAGCGYGGCCGGGCACGGGAGGGACGCGCCCGGCGCCGGCTCCGCGCCACMCTGCCTCTAATCCCACGGCTTAGCCCACGGCCCGACCTTGCTGGGAAGGGGCTGTGGGTGTCTCCCAGCACCGGGGTGTGCAGGGCTCCTGGCCGGAGCGCGGAGCTGCCTGCCCTCTGGAAGCGCTAATAAAAGCAGCAGGTGCAACCGGAGCAGTGGGAAGCGCTTTCTGAAGAGATTTCCAGAACTATCGCCGTTGCTTTGAAGTGCAAACGAGCAAGGCTGGGATCACGATGCTGCCTCGTGGTGTGCAATGCAGCAGGGGTGCAGCGGGATGGCATGCTCGCCCGGATACATCCGCAGCATGGATCTTGTGATGCTCCGAGCACCTGATTGCAGCATTGTCCCTCTGCAAGCCCTCGTCCATTCCCTTGCTTGGTGCCTGCCCTTGTGTCGGGCCAATCGTGAGCGAATGGAGCTGATTTCCCCCTCCAAAGGTCACTCCCGGGATTTCCAGCCTTCCCACCACTTCCTGCTTGTGTTTTGTCCGCGTTTGTCTCAGGAAGAAGCACCTTGCACGTGGGGAGCTGGCCCTAATTAATCACTTCTGCTCTCTTGATAACGAGCCGCTCGGAGCACTCCGGAGGAATTTCCCGGTGTTTGATGGCGTTCCAGGGCTCTGCTCTGGCCATTGTTGCCCTGTCGGATCCTTATGGCTGTTGAGACCTTGTTTGAGTTGGAGCGGGAGCTGTTTTAACAGCTGCTGCTCGGCGCGGCCACCGCGTTAACCCCTGAGCTGCGGCGCCGGCGCCGGTCCCGGCGGCTCTCCCTCGCCCGGCGCCCCGGCAGCCCCAATCCCATTTTCAGGCATCGCTGCGGTGCCCCGGCTGGGGTGGGACACGCGACACCGCTCCGGCCGGAGCGGGAGCTCCAAGCGGGAGCTCCTCACTGCAGGGATTAAAATACGAACTGCTGACTCGCATGAAACGTGAATCCGGGTTTTCACTCGAGGAAAATGTTATTCTGAGTTAATAGAGATGTTGCAGAAACCACACTTTGACAGCATAGGCTGTTATTATTAAACTCCTAAATTATGTGGTCAAGCTGACAGGTGTAAATGGTTATGGGTTAAATTTCTGGAGTGTGATGTAAGGGTGGCAGAAGTAGCTCAAATGGCTCTAGTCTGGGGGTGGGGAAGGCTCTTGCTAAGCTGAGATCAGAGCAAACCCTGCGCTGTTTTTGGCCATGGCTGAGGCTAAAGGGTTGACTAAACCCCTAGCRCATGGGGCAGTTAATGTTTGCAGAGGTGTCTCGTGAAGAACCGGGGCTGCAAGGAGCCGGGCGGGAACGTGCCCTCAATGAGCCACCCTGCACGTGCGATTCAGCCTGCAAAACAGCCTCGTGTCACCCAGGGTCTTTCCCTGATGGTTGGGTTCCTCGTTGGGTACTCGGGTAGAGGAGCAAAAGTCTAAGCAACGCGCTGCAGTGCAAGCCCTGATCGTCCGGTAGCAAATTAGTGGTGTTTGCCCATGCCGGGTGTTGCAAAGTAGGCTGTTTAAGAGCTACTATGAACAGTTTCCATGGACCTGTCTTTGCTAGAAGGCTAAAAATGATGATTTTATAGAACCGTCCTGGATGTTTGCACCAACGGCAGGGCTGGGCCCCGCAGGGGTGTCCCCCGCGCTGCGGGCTGCCTCCAACCCCGATTTCCCTGAAACCGAGGGAGAAGAGGCTGGCGGGAAGCGCCGCGCTCGGCTTGCGACACCGTCCCGTGACAGACGGGTGTCGGGGAGTTCAGGGCGGCCGTGCCCGCGAGCACAGGGCGCTTTCGCTGCCGCTTTCGGGAGCCGCCGCTTCCTCCTGGGCTGGGGGGACGCGGATGGCTCGTTCTCACGAGCTCAGCCTTCACGGCCGCTCTGCACCCTGCTCGGGACTGACTGTTGCCTCTCTCCTTCCCTTTTTTTAGACAGAAATTGCTAAAAGGCTGAATACAATCTTAGCGCAGATCATGCCTTTTCTGTCACAAGAGGTAAGGAYGTTCCCACCCTCGGGATGGGCAGGGGGTAACGCTCCTTGGTGCGGATGCCCCCCGGAACGCGGCGCGGCGGCTGCCCCATCCCAYGGGACCTCCAGTGCAGCGGGAAGGGGACGGGAGGCTGGGACCCCCGTGCGGGTGGTGGGGTCCCTGGGGAGCAGCGCTGGGCCCAGGTGCATCGCCCCAATGGGGTAGGGGAGCTGGGGGGTTGTAGGGCACCTTGCTGCCGCCCCCATGAATTAGCGCAGGGGGCGGTTTGCAAAGCAAAAAGGGACRAAAAGGTGATGCCTCTTGGCCGACAGTCTGCGTGGGGGTGACCTGCACGTGGGGTGGCCCTGGGCACGGGGGTCTTGGCTGACTCTGCACCGTGGGACTGAGGACAACCCGTACGGGAGTCCCCGTCCCGGCTCTGACGCCGCCGCGACCGCTTGTCCCCGCAGCACCAACAGCAAGTCGCACAGGCTGTTGAGCGTGCCAAGCAAGTGACAATGACGGAGTTGAATGCTATCATCGGGGTACGTGGACTTCCCAATCTGCCTCTCACCGTGTGTATACCCCTTTTATTCCTATCATTTACCATAGCCAGAGACAAGCCTGCGCTCAGGCGGCGAGCGGGGGGCGGCGAGCAGCATCCCGGTGAGCCGGGGGCTCTGCTGCTGCCGGGAATTCCCAACTCGGCGCGGAGCGGGATGGGACCTGCCGCCCCGAGCAGTGGGTCCGGGTTGTCCTCTGGGCGCTAATGTGGTAAATAGAGCCCAGACGGGATCAGTTTGGTGCCACGTGCCCCTTGTGGGCACGGCCCTCCTGGGGCCCCTGAGCCCAGGGCTGTCTCTGTTCGTACTGTTGATGTGAAATGTGCTGGGAGCCGGATGGAGCCGGGGCTCCCCGCGCCCGCCCGCGGTTTTTATTGCCTTTAACCCATGCAACCGTTGCCTCGGGCCCACAGGAAACTCTTTCCCTTATTGAAACCCCAAATGGCTTCATCTGCAGGATGCTCATGTCACCAATCACCATGTCCTTGTGTGCTGATTTTCCTTACAGCTCCCCTGGCTTCCATGCTTGATTTAAGTTACCATTTGTGCTTCTTTCTTAAGCTGCAAGGGAACTTCTGCTCTGTGTCCCTGTCCGCTTGCGTTTAACCTGCTTTCAGTTTTTCCTGCTTCTTAACGAACCTTTCGGAGCAGCCTCGTCCTGGCTGTGTTGGGAATAACCCTGATAGACACAGGGAGATGCCGTGTTTGTGGGTGCTGGTGCTCGAGCGTGGCACATTGTGCTCCCTGAGTGCCGCCAATCCCTGTAGAAACGGGAAAACGAGGCGCATGCAGCGCCTCGATCAGCTGCTCCGAGTCGTAGTTAGGAGTCGCRGCAGCTGGAGGCAGATATTGGAATTCAATTAAGGTAAATGAGCGGGGCCCGTGACCCCCATTTCCAAGGTAATTGCTTCCTCGGATCAGAGCTAGCGCGAGTGTCGTCCCGTCATTAAGCAGCCAGCCGTTTAATCGCTCTGCCTGGTGAACTTTCCTCGGGCAGGAGTTATGGGCGGCAGCAGGGCCGTGCTCGCCGGGCGGCCGGGACTTCCTTTATTATTTATTTTTATCTTGTCGCGGGAGGGACCCGGCGGTGGCTGCTGATGCGATAGCAGCCAGAGGTCACCGTGCCCGTGGATCGGTGCTTCCGAGCGTGCCGCACGGGCAGCGGAGCTGGCGTTGCCGGTGCCAGGGCGGCRTGCTCGGCGTGCTTGCAGGCCCTGCACCTTGCAGCCTTGCAGCGGTGTCCGTGCATGGCTCCCCGTGCTGGGGCTGTCTGCATTTCTCCCCATTGCACACGTGGGCACCAGGTGCTTGCACGAGACGAGGTGCCCGGTGTGCATTGGTCCTCCCCGCATGGAGCCCTGGCCTTGCAGCCGGTGGTGCTGTTCACATCCCCTATCAGCATCTTGGTGCAGGTGCTGAAAACAAGACTGGCATGCATAAAAATGCACCAAATCATTAAAACCTCCTTTTTTCACCCCTTTTGAGGTCAGGAACTGTTAATTTTATGCATCTAGGCCATTGTCTTACAGTTCCTCCGCTGCAGGCTTCTGTGAAATTGAGCCCTTGATTTGGTTATAGCTCTGGAAATGATTAGACTACTTTACTAAATTTAACGCAAGTGGTGAACTTAAGTGGTGAACCATTAAATCAGTTAACAAAGGCATGAAGCATGATGTACATAATCCAATTAAAAACACTCTACGTACAAGATACTCCTTGCCAGCCTTTCTCATAAATGGTAACCTCTTCATATCTTAGCCATATTTGTCTGGCACTTGCCCGGAGACCCCGGCAGGGAAGCGGCTTTGGGCACGAGTGTCTCCCATTGCCGGCTTYCTCCGGAGCGAGGGATCTGGGCGCTGCTGCTCCCATCCCTGCTGTTGTCACACTGGCCCTGCGTTGGGGCCACCGGCCAGTGACCCCCCCCCCATGCAACATCCTGGGCCGGTGCAGCTTGTTCTTGGGCTCGGGCACGTTGGCGAGGTGCCGAGGGGTGGTGATGGAGCCGGAGGGGCCCTGTGGAGGCTCCTGCACCTCTGCCAGGCTGTTCCCGCTTTCCCGGAGCCCTCACGAGCAGCCCCTCTGTGCGGGGATTCTGCGGATCCCTTCCCGCCGGCTCGCAGGGCCCGGGGGCACTGGTCCTGCAGGGAGGATGTGCTGCCCGGTCGTGCCCGTGGGTGCAGAGCAGAGCGGTGCCAGGGGGTTGTTTTCCCCATCCAGTACCTTAAAACAGTCCCTAGCAAGCAACTGGAAGCTTTCCTTTCCGCGGGGAGCAGGAGGATCCCTGGATGCTGGTGGCTCCTGATCTTGTCTCTGTGCTGCACTTCCTTCCTCYGTATCCCTTTCTTCCTGCTTCCTTATCCACTGGAGCACGGAAGCAGCCAGATCCGCAGCAACAACGTGAAGCCCTGGAATTGGAGAAGATTCCCATGGCTGCGGGGATGCTGGCCGGGCCATCGGCACCTCCTCCCTTCCCCGCATCCCTCCCTGCTCCTGGCTAACAACAGAGCTTGTCCTTCCAGGCGGGCCGAGCGTCCCGGCGCTGGGCGCCCCGGGATGGAGCCGAGCGCCTCGAGCGCGCCCAGGCGCCCGTCCCTGCCCCGCTCACCGGTGCTCTCCTTGCAGCAGCAGCAGCTCCAGGCCCAGCACCTCTCGCACGCCGCGCACGGCCCCCCRGTGCAGCTGCCGCCGCATCCCTCGGGCCTGCAGCCGCCGGGCATCCCGCCGGTGAGCGGCAGCAGCTCGGGGCTGCTGGCCCTGGGCGCCCTGGGCAGCCAGGCGCACCTCGCCGTCAAGGACGAGAAGAACCACCACGACCTGGACCACCGAGGTGAGAGACTGCGAAAAAGTAAAGCCCCAAATCCCCAAAACGATGCCTGYAAATTGAGCTCCCACCGCCTGATTTGCTCCTATCCACCCTGGGTTTCTCGGCTTGGTGGAGGCTCCATGTGGACCTGCCTCCGCTGCGCGGCGGATGCTCTGCGTGCGCTCGGGAGCTTTGCAGGGATTGTTTTTCCCATGCAATCCCTTCCCGTTAGCCCCGGTGCAGCAGCAGGAAGCAAAGCCCCCCTGGAACRCTTGGGAGTGTCCATGGGTGGAGGCTGCCCTAAAAGAACAACTGACCAGCAAAGAACCCCATTCCCAAATAAATAGAGGGGTTATGAAGCACCCCTGTGCTCCATTTAGTGGAGGATTCGGTGATGCTCTGCAGTGCCCCTTCCTGCCCTCTYCAGCCCTGGGGAAGTCTGCCCAGGGGCTCTGGCTGCTCTGGAAACCAACATTATTCACTTCCAGACTTGCTGGCTAATCTTTTTATTAGAAATAAGAAATCCTTGTTAGCAGAAAAATGATGCATGGCTTGAGTTGCAAATCAACAATGGTGAAGACTTGCAAGTTCCCTGGTCCGTTGACAGGCCAGGATCTGAGATCTTTCCTCTTAACGTGCCCACATGTAGGGTAGCTGCCTTRCCATGTCACAAACCTGTTGGGTTCTACTGCTTTGGGGTTTTTGTTCTTCTCCCCAGTGGAAGCCTGAGAAAAATGCATTGGAAGCAATTATCCAATTACATTAATTTTTCTGCATGGATTTAAATTACCAGGAGATTTCAGGGAAAATGAGGCTATTTAGGTATAAAGCAATGACTAACCGCATCCTGCTAACGTGTGTGCCCTCGTGCCCGGCCTCCCGCCTTGCAGCTTGTGCATGGATGCCGCGGGTCGACGCTGTTTCCTTGTGCACTTCAGCATGGGAGGCTTTGCCACATGAACCAYGTGGGCAGAGAAAATATCTGGGGGAGCAGAGAGTGGGAGCAGGGGCATAAGGCGGGGGATTGGTGTTAAACTGCAGCCGAAGAGGGAGCAGGTAGGTCCTGAGTTAGGACTGGGACCGGAGACAACGGGAGCCACTGGGTTTATTTTCTGTTCTCAGATTTGTTCTGACTTGCTCTGTTTTCTGTCTCTCTGCATTGGCTGGGACTCGCCTGTGAYGCTGGCCGCCTCTCAAAGAGCGGGACTCGAGTGCAGTAAGTCCAGTGACCTCCTTTTTCCTTTTACCTCCTCTTGTTTTCCTCRGTTTTCTTCCTTTCCGATGACCACATGCTTCTGTTCTATGGAGCATTTTAAAAACCAGTCTCCTGTGGACTTTCAAGATGTGTGTTTTGCATTGATCATATGAAAAATAGCAATAGTCGAGGGTTGCGTGGGCTGGGGTGCAAGGCTGGTGTCGGATCTGGGCTCCACGTTGGTCCCAGTGTTTGGCTGGAGTTTCCCAGTGGAGAGGCACGTTCCCTGGATCGGCCCCGCCACGGAGCGCGTGGTTAAAGCCTCCTTTGTCAACGAGGAGAGCTGTGTCATTGCCGCGCGCTGCTCCGTTACCTCGGGTCACCTAATCCGCGGGGACGGCCTGGCCTATTAGGCTGCGCTCAGCGGCACTCGGAAGGTCGCGCGGCTAACGGAGCGTCTCGGCAGSCGTCCCGGCTGTCCCGCCGCCTCCGGCCTTGCTCCGTGCAGCCTTAAGGCACCCAAGCAGGGGTTAGCAAGGAAAGGGGAGGCTCTCGGGCTGCAAACATCCCCCGGGAGCTCCCTGCTGATGCTGGCATCACCTTGCAAAGCCCTGGGGCATCCGCACAACCCGGACCACCAAGGGGCCTTCGGATGCCCCAGTGTGTCCGGATAATGAAATGCCKCTAACGGGAGAAGAGGGTCGCGGAGCATCCCGGCCCTGCGAGCACAAGASGGGGCTGGGAAGGATGGGAGCGTTCCCGAGCCATAAACCCCACCGCTGACTATTCCCCGTGGAGGTTTAATGCGCGCGGTAATCAGAGTTAGTCATTCATATTTTCCGAGCCTTGCCCGGGCAATAAAAAATATTTAGTTGTTTGGCGGCGGGCCAGCGGCGGCCTGAATGGATCGATGCCTCTAAATGCCTGACATGATTCTGCGGGAGCTGCGAGGGCTTTCAGCATGACTGCCCGAGAAGAAAGGCCCCGGTGTTATCCAAAGCTGCTTACCGGGCACCGAGGAGAAACATGAACTGCTTTAGTTCTCCTTTTCAGAGGGGAAAGAAAGGGAGGCCGAGCAGCTTAAGAAGGTTTCTGCTTTGCAGGGGCGGCAGCCTCCGCTCCGAGCTGCGGAACGCCGGCGATTTTCCCCTGCCGCTCGCGGGCTAATTGCAGGGCAGCCGCGCGGGGAGGAACGGGGCTGGAGCCGGGCCGAATCGCCGGGGTTTTTCCGGCTCCTTCCCAGCGAGTCTCCGYGCTGCCATCTTTGCTCCAAGCCCGYGTTTGGTGCATAGGGAAAAGCTTCCCGGGAAAGCTGCCACAGGGGAGCCTCGTCCGGGCTTTAGAGCTTGCGGAAGGACGGGAAACCACCTCCTTCCCCAGGGTCCTTCCCTGGCGGCTTTTGGCTYCGTGGCCCCAGGGCGCCTGCGGATGCAGTTTGGGGAATGTTCTTTGGAAGCCCTTTGGCACAGCCGAGCTCAACCGCCCGTGTGGTCCAGGCAGGACATCCCGGCTCCCGAAGCCTTCATGGGGAGCAGAGCCTCACTGGTGGAGGCCAGGCTCCAGGGGAGGCTGCGCGTGGGGAAGGCTCCTCACGGAGCATCCTTAGGGGCTGCCCCTGTGCGCAGTTTTCTCACAGCATGTCCTCTTGCAAACTGCTGCTCCCTCTCTTTGTGCTTTGCCTTCTAACCCTTTTTTTTGTTTGTTTTCTTTTCCTTCTCTTATTCCAGAATAATTCTGTTTCGCCCTCGGAAAGCCTGAGAGCCAGCGAGAAGCACCGGAGCTCCACGGACTACAGCATCGACTCCAAGAAGCGGAAAGCGGAGGAGAAGGACAGCATGAGCCGATATGTGAGTCACGCCGGCGCGCAGAGCTGCACGGAGCTGTGCCAGGGCTGGAAAGCTCCGTGCCAGGGCACGGCGAGGCCCAGGGGCGCCCACGGGGGGCTTCAGGTGGAAGCAAGCAGGTTTGGGGTGACCCTCTCAAAGGCAGCGGGGTGATCGCAGCTTGATGGGTCTGGGGGTTCGAGAGCSCCTGTGGGGTCATGACTCGCTTGACGTTTCAGGACAGCGACGGTGACAAAAGCGACGACTTGGTCGTGGACGTGTCCAACGAGGACCCCGCCACCCCGCGCGTCAGCCCGGCCCATTCCCCTCCGGAGAACGGCCTGGACAAAGCGCGGGGGCTGAAGAAGGGCGAGGCGCCCACCAGCCCGGCCTCGGTCGCCTCCTCCAGCAGCACTCCCTCCTCCAAGACTAAAGACCTGGGACACGTAGGTGGCTCGCGGCGGTGGCCAGGATGCAGTGGGATGCGATTGGGCGGGACGTGGCCGGGATGCCGCAGTGGAGCGGGATGCAGCCGGATGCACTGCAGCATCGGAGCCTCATCCGCTGTTTTCTCCTCTCTCTGGGCAGAATGATAAATCATCAACGCCCGGGCTCAAGTCCAACACTCCGACGCCGAGGAACGACGCTCCGACCCCAGGAACGAGTACGACTCCAGGCCTCCGGCCGATGCCCGGCAAGCCGGCAGGCATGGACCCGCTGGGTGGGTGCTGCGAGCKTCCCAGTGCCTCGGGGATCCCAGTGCCGTGTAGTTCCCAATGCCATGTAGTTCCCAGTGCCATGGGAATTGCAGAGKCTCAGTGCCATGGGCATCCCAGTGCCATGGGAATCCCAATGTTGTGCAGCAATGCCATGGGGATCACAGAGTTCCTAGCGCTGCAGGGTTCCAGTGCCGTGCAGATCCCGGTGCCGTGGGCTTCCCGGTGCCCTGCAGATCCCGTTCCTTGGGCTGCAGCAGGCGTCCCATGCGCGCTGTGACGGCGTCCCTCTGTTCCCGCAGCCTCGGCCCTGAGGACGCCCATCTCCATCGGGGGCTCGTACGCCGCCCCCTTCGCCATGATGGGGCACCACGAGATGAACGGCTCGCTGACCAGCCCCGGCGCCTACGCCGGCCTGCACAACATCCCGCCGCAGATGAGCGCGGCCGCCGCCGCCGCCGCYGCCTACGGCCGGTCGCCAATGGTGAGCTTTGGAGCTGTACGTAGCCCTTTTAGCTCCTTTTCTTGCCCGGCGCGGAGGGGCTGGGGTGGTGGGAAGCAACCTGGGCTGGGGGCTTCCCTGCATGGGCTGGGTCATTGGAGGATGCTGGAGGGAACCATCTGCAAGGGAGTGCTGGGCAYGTGCTGCTGCACTGGGGTTTCTGTTAGTATCTGCCCTCGAAAACCGGTGGCACRGCCACTGTTGCTCACTTGCATGCGTCCAACCCCATTGCAACAAGGGGCAGAGCTCTGCGGGTTGGGGTTTTGCAGCAGCAGGGCTTGGTGAGCGCATCCCGTGTGCTCGCTGCACCCGCAGACTCCTTGCCTGGTTCCCGTGTCCTTTCCCCTCCCTGCCGGGGGGAGCCATGGGGTTTGGCAGCGGGGCACGAGGGGCCGCGGGCTCGCGGGGCAGCGCGCGCCGGCATCGCCCCGTGTCTCTTGCAGGTCGGCTTTGACCCGCACCCGCCCATGAGGGCACCCGGCCTGCCCACCAGCCTGGCCTCCATCCCCGGCGGGAAGCCGTAAGTGCGGGCGCGGGCGCTGGGGCGCGCGGTGCCCGCGCCGCCGGGCGCTCACGCCGCCCTTGCCGCCTCCCCGCAGCGCCTACTCGTTCCACGTGAGYGCCGAYGGGCAGATGCAGCCCGTGCCCTTTCCCCACGACGCGCTGGCGGGCCCCGGCATCCCGCGGCACGCGCGGCAGATCAACACGCTGAGCCACGGCGAGGTGGTGTGCGCCGTCACCATCAGCAACCCCACGCGGCACGTCTACACCGGCGGCAAGGGCTGCGTCAAGATCTGGGACATCAGCCAGCCGGGCAGCAAGAGCCCCATCTCGCAGCTGGACTGCCTGGTAAGGGGACGGCGCGATGGGGGCAGCAACATCTGGGGTCTGGAGCGTTCAGGGTGGCTGCCTTGGAGCATCCCTGATGCTCATGCAATGCTCGTTTGGATTGTGCCTGTTATTCAGAACTTGTCCCCYCTGTTTTCCTTACTAATAATGTCCCCTGTGCCCTGTCCCCTCCAGAACAGGGACAACTACATCCGCTCGTGCAAGCTCCTGCCCGACGGGCGCACGCTCATCGTGGGCGGCGAGGCCAGCACGCTCACCATCTGGGACCTGGCGTCCCCCACGCCGCGCATCAAGGCCGAGCTCACGTCCTCGGCGCCCGCCTGCTACGCGCTGGCCATCAGCCCCGACGCCAAGGTCTGCTTCTCGTGCTGCAGCGACGGCAACATCGCCGTGTGGGACCTGCACAACCAAACGCTCGTCAGGTGTGTGCACCCCTGCATGCCCTGAGGCACCAGCTTTTGGGGTGCTTGCGTGGTCCAGAGTGGTTTGGGGGCTGTGTTTTGGTATGAAAACCTCGAGGGTGGCAGCAAGAGAGGCAACTGGTGCTGCTTTCTGTAGCAGGAGCACCAGGCTCCTTTGGGCAGCCTTCCCTGCTGGAGCAGACCCTCTCCCGCACGAGCTGCTGCTTTGCTGGGGCCAAACCCCAGTTTGGGGTATGGGAGGAGAGCAGCGGGTTTGCAGATGCCCTTGGTGTGAGAAAAGCTTGAGGTGCAAGGAAAGCTGCAAGGATGCAGCCCAAGGAGTGACCCGCTCCTCCTCCAAGGGTTCAATTCCTTCCCTTGAAGGCAATTCCAAGGCCACACGGACGGCGCCAGCTGCATAGACATCTCGCATGACGGTACGAAGCTGTGGACGGGGGGCCTGGACAACACGGTGCGTTCGTGGGACCTGCGGGAAGGGCGGCAGCTGCAGCAGCACGACTTCACGTCCCAGGTGAGTGAGCAGCCCCCGGGCTGGGGGCTTTTCCCGCTCGCAGGACAGCCCTTGCTGTCGCCAGCAGCTGTGTCCCGAGTGTCACATAAAGGTGTTCCAGGCAGCCAGGCTGCAGGGCTCCCCAGGCTGCTGTTTTGGCTCCTCTCAGGGTGCTTTTTCACCTGCTGCAAGCAGGATTCCCAAGATAGTTGCCGAGTCCTGCTGCTAACCCCGCAGCGCTGGCTGTCTGGGTTTCCACACGTTAGCCCCTGGCCTCGGGAGGCCAGCCACCGTCCTGTCCCGGTTCCCAGGCATGGGTATCCGTGACTTGGACCTTGTCTATCTATGCTGCCTTCCATGTGCAGGTTTTTCTTCTGGAGAAACCCTTCTGAACACCCTGGTGGGTCTCCCAGCCCTGGGAGAGGCTGTGTTTGAGCCTCGGGTGCCTCATTTGGGATGAGGAAAAGGATAGTGCTGGGTCTGTTGACCCTGGCGTTTCCACAGCTCAGGACAGCAATGATTTATGAGGACAGGGCCGTGTCCTTTCCAGCCTACCGAGCCGTTTCTCTTCAGTCATTGGCCTTGCTGTCCGCTCTGCGGCAAAGCTCAGGCAGAGGAGATGCAAAAATCAGGATGAGTTAACATAAATCCTTCCCGCTGCGTGGCTGGCATCTCCCTTGGCCTGATGAGGCCAGACCCCGGCGTCGCTCCTCACTGACACCCAGCTGGGGACGAGGATGCAGCGTCCCCCGCGGGCAGGACGAGTGCGAGTCCGTGTGTCCTTTCACAGATCTTCTCGCTGGGATACTGCCCGACGGGCGAGTGGCTGGCGGTGGGCATGGAGAGCAGCAACGTGGAGGTGCTGCACCACACCAAGCCCGACAAGTACCAGCTGCACCTGCACGAGAGCTGCGTGCTCTCCCTCAAGTTCGCCTACTGCGGTAAGCGCGCACCGTGCTCCCCGAGCCGTGTGCTGCACCCACAGCCGGGCGCCGCGGCTCCGCATGGAGGCTCCCCGCGGGATTTGGGGGTTATTCCTCTAAGACCTTCCTGCTGAACCGCCTAGTAGAGGTTGCAAATCTCCAAGCAGCCTCGCGGTGCGGGAGAGGGTGGCCAAATCCCGGTGCTGTGCGGGTGCCCGCTCCGGAGCCGCGGGAGAGGGTGGCCAAATTCCGGGCTGGCACCGCGCTCCGGAGCCGCGGATGCGGGAGGGCGGCCGCCTCCGTCCCACGGCTGCTCACGTCCCCTCTCCTTCCTGTCCCTAGGGAAATGGTTTGTGAGCACCGGGAAGGACAACCTGCTCAACGCCTGGAGGACGCCCTACGGAGCGAGCATATTCCAGGTGCGGCTGCCTCCGGGGTTGGAGAGCAGGACCCACGTGGTCCTGCCTCTCTGGGTGCGTCTGTACGATCCTGCCTCTCTACACAGCTCTGGATGCATCCGCATGGATCTGGATGCATCGGTGCAGCTCTGGATGCATCTGTGCAGTCCTAGCATTCTGGATGCATCTGTGCGGATCTGGATGTATCCGTGCAGCTCTGGATGCATCCATGCAGTCCTACCACTCTGGATGCATCCACGTGGATCTGGATACATCCAGAGAGGAGAGACCACATGGACATATCCACATGACTCTGGATACATCCATGCACTCCGCCTCTTCATGTGGCTCTGGATGCATCCATGCAATCCTGCTACCTATGAGGCTTTGGATGTATCCTGTAGTCCAGCTTCTCCATATGGTTCTCAGGATGCATCCGTGTGGTCCTGCCTCTCTGCATAGCCCGGGATGCATCCACCCAGCCCTGCCTCCCTGTGCAGTCCCAAATGCCTCCGTGCAATCCTGCTCTCCACGCGCGGGCAGCAGCCTCATTGGGAAAACCCGCTGATTTTCCCCCTTTCCCCCTCCCTCCTTTCGCAGTCCAAGGAGTCTTCGTCCGTGCTAAGCTGCGACATTTCAGCGGATGACAAGTACATCGTAACCGGCTCTGGTGACAAGAAGGCCACAGTGTACGAGGTCATCTACTAGCCGCGGCCTTTCCCGGCCTGCGGGCTCCGGCGGGACGCCGGCGGAGAGGGACGCGGCGGCGGTGCCACCGGCACCGGCCCGGCGGGCGGCTCGGCGCCCTGGAGCCCGGCTGCAAAACGGACGGATTCATGTGGAGGTCTGCAACTATGGCACACATTGAAGCCCTAAACAACACTCTTCGTTTTGTTTTTTTTAGGGTTTTTGGTTTCTTATTTTTTTTTTTTTTAATGGTTTTCTGGTTCTTTCCATCTGCGCTTTGGTGGCACTATAAAGGACTTATTTTTTATTGTGACTTTTTTTTTTTTTTTTGGTGCATTCTGCATAAGACTTGTGAAAAATGTAAATACCGGACTAGCAAATAGCCTGGGGAGGGTGGGGGCCCCCTCCCGGGACACTAGTTGTGTATTTTTCGTCTGCTGTAACTGTATTCCACTGATGGTTTTGGTGGTGGCAAGTTTTCTTTTTTCCTTCCTCCCGCCGGGGCCGCTCCTGGGGCAGCGCGAGCAGCCGGCTCCCCCGGTGCAAGTTGTTCCTGCTGTTGTACACGTGAGTTGTTCGGTGTGTTAGTCGTGTCCCAGCACTGTACGGACGGAGGCGAAGCCGCTTGGGGCTGCCCACGGCACGAGCGAGCCTTTCCACGGATTATTTCTCTTATTTTTTTGGGGCGCTTTTTTTTGGATGTTTGAAGAAAACGGGAAGTCCGTGTTCTGGGAAACTTCTGCTCAAGCCCTTCTTGCTCTTCGGACATAACCCACGAGGAATGATTTCAAAGAAAGCTTAGTAAATTCAGCTCAGGGAGCCACGGAAGATAATAGCAACTTATGTGTTTTGTATTCCAATGAAAGTAAAGAATTAGAATTGATAACCTTTAAAATACATTTTTTTTAAAAACCAGAGTTTACTAACGCGTAGGGTTGGTGTGTGGTGGGGAAGGGGCTTGGGCAGGGGCCGGGGCTCCCGCCGCCCCCTCCCCGCGCCGCCGCATTTTGTACTAAAGGGTAACAAAGAAATAACGGGAAATAAAAGTATTTGTGTAGCAGAAGCGCTCACCCTCTATTGTAGCATACGGAGGAGGATTTTTATACTGCGTTTTTTTTTATGGATTTTTTTTTAATTGTTGTTATTTTTATTTCTAATCTGGTCGAAAAAGGAGGTAGGGTGAAGGTGCAAGCGCCTGGCGGGGGTGCAGCGGGGAGAGCCTGGCCCGGAGCATCCGCGCGGGGCTGCAGGGAGGATGCTGCGCAGAGCACCCTTCCTCCTCCGTGAAAATACCTTTTTGGGGATGTTTTGCCCTTTTCTGTTAAAAGCAAAAATCAAGGGCGCTTTCCGTGCACTGAGCTGCATGGAGCGGCCCCGCGCCCCGGCGTGGCTGGAGCCTGGCCCCGGCCTTGCCGCAGCCCCTGGAAGCAGGCGGCAGCTTTGGAAAAGCGGGAAGCGGGTGCCGGGGCTGCCCTTCGGCCAGGGAAGGGCAGGAGGCGGCCGAGGGGCCGAGGCTGCTGCTCGGCGTCACACCAAAGTATGTAGCAGAATCTGTACAGCTGTTAATACCTGCAAGCGGTTTTTGTAAAAAACAAAAAAGGGAGAGAAAAAAAAAAGGAGAAAAAAAAAAGAATAAAAAGTAAATGTAATGAAGTGCAAATGCAACCACCGTGTCTATCAGCCCTTTGGTCTCTGCAAAGCTGCACCATGGTCCCTCGGGGTCTTGCCGTGGATGTTCCCTGTGCTGCTAAAGCTCAAATGTGTTTAGGTTGGGCCTGGCCCTGCTGCTGTGCAAGGTGCTGGCGGATGCTTTAGGGAAGGACGTGACTGCTTGGATGGGGTGGGCAGCTGCTTTGCTCGTTGATGTGGGCTGGAGCTGTGCAAAAATCCCGGCGCTCTGTGCAAAAACCCTGTGCAAAACCCCCAGTACGCCGTGTAGAAGGGCAGCGCCCTGCGCTGCACTTACCCTGTGGCAGCCCTGCTGCCCGCCTGGGGCAGCTCTCGGTGCAGCTCCGAGCGCTCGGGCTGCCTGTGGAGCAGGGCAGCGGTGCTGATCCGCGCGGGTCTCCGCTCGCCGGGTCACGCCGCGCGTTGAATCCCCCGGGATTATCGAATTGCAGGGTTTGGATCCTGGCGGGGAGGCGGAGGCTGCCGGCTTGCCGTCAACAGCACTGAGCTGCAAAGCAGGCCSGTCCGCGGGGCCTGGGGCTGGATGCAGCGCGGCCGCAGCGCTCGCCCCACTGCACGCCGTGCCCCACGGCATCCCAGCCCCATTGCATTGCTGTGCCCCATGGCATGCAGTGTCCTAGCCCCAGTGCATTGCTGTGCCCCATGACATGCACTATCCTAGCCCCATTGCATTGCTGTGCCCCAATGGCATGCATTGCTCTGACCCCAGTGCATTGCTGTGCCCCATGGCATGCAGTTTCCTAGCCCCACTGCATTGCTGTGTCCCACAGCATGCATTGCTCTGACCCACTGCATTGCTGTGCCCCAATGGCATGCATTGCTCTGACCCCACTGCATTGCTGTGCCCCAATGGCATGCATTGCTCTGACCCCAGTGCATTGCTGTGCCCCATGGCATGCAGTGTCCTAGCCCCACTGCATTGCTGTGTCCCACAGCATGCATTGCTCTGACCCCACTGCATTGCTGTGCCCCATGGCATGCACTATCCTAGCCCCATTGCACTGCTGTGCCCCACAGCAGGCATCACCCCAGCCCCATGCTTTGCAGTGCCCCACACCGTGCATCATCCCCACGTCACGGCGTTGCAGTGCCCCACACCGTGCGCGAGTCCACCCCGCTGCACGGCCGTGCCCCACAGCGGGCCCCTCTTTGCAGGGCGCCAGCCCCACGGCCGCGCTGGCTCCCGCGCGGCGCCGCGAGCAGATGGCGGGGGCGGCCCCGGGCACCGTCAGCTGCTGTTATCGCTGCCGCCTGACACGCCGTGTAAATTCTGCTGGCACCGCTCCCCGCGTCTGCTCTGCCGCTGCATCCCACCAGCTTTAATTACTGTAATTGAGTTATAATGAATGATTGTGCTCTGCCATTGTGTGCATGGTGGCAGGCAGCGCCCGGCGCCGGGCGCGCTCCCGCTCGCTCCCAATGCCTCCTGCTTGCTCCCAGTGCTCCTGCTTGCTCCTGCTTGCTCCCGATGCCTCCTGCTCGCTCCCATTTGCTCCCACTTTGCGTGCACGTGGGAAGGGCATCGTGGAAAGCMGCGTGCCGGCGGCACCGCGAGCCCAGCGCTCTTCCGGGGCTCCCGTGGAAACAGCAGCAACAGATAAACACTAATTTAGCTTAATCCCTGTTGATAATTAAATAAATAGATAGATAAATAAATAAAGTGCCGAGGCAGAGGCCGGAGCCTCTCCGTGGCTCTGGGCCTGAGCAGGAAGGCGCTGCATGAGCGGTTCTGCAAAGGGCCCCACTCCATCTGCACGCCGGCAGCAAAAGCTAAGCAACGCTTTGGTATGAATAGTAGCGTTTGAGAGGTTTAAACGGTCTTTCTCTCTTTTCTCTTTCTTTCTTTCTTTCTTTTCTTTCTTTTCTTTCTTTTCTTTCTTTTCTTTCTTTTCTTTCTTTTCTTTCTTTTCTTTCTTTTCTTTCTTTTCTTTCTTTCTTTTCTTTCTTTCTTTTCTTTCTTTATTTTCTTTCTTTCTTTTCTTTCTTTCTCCTTTTTCTTTTCTTTCTTTCTCCTTTTTCTTTTCTTTTTTTTTTTCTCTCCCAAGGTGAATTCCAGCGGGATCAACACTCCCCAGGAATTGCCCCGGAGGAAGCTGGCTGCTCCCCAGCTCGCCTTGTAAAGAAAGATTCATTATTGCCGCTGAGCCGAGATGAAACAATCCGGGGGAATTAAGCGCCCTAATGCCGAGCAGACGCGTTCGGCCACAATGGAGGGTTTTGGTGTCGCGCATAAAAGCGCAGCCCCCCGGGCGCGCGGGACGCGGGCGCGCTGCGTGCACGGGCGCAGCGCTCCGGAGCTGGCAGCACCGGGGCCGGCAGGAGCCTCCCAGCGCGCCGGAGCTCCTGGGGGTGCCATGAGCACCGAAACGGGGGGAAAAAGGGCGGAATCGGCTTTGCAAGGCGGGCACGAGGGCGGGCTCGGCGCAGCGCGCGCTCGAGGCGCGTGGAGACCCTTTAATGGCATCTTGACACGAAGAGCCGGGTTATTATCCCAGTTTTGGTTGTGGAACTGGAGCACGCTGGGGATGGCCGCGGCCTAAGCCATTAATCCTCCCATGCGGGGATTTGCAGCGCGGGGCTTGGGGCCTTCCCTGTTGCTTGYGGATAAATATTCCCTGGTGCCGGAGCCCCCGCGCGGGGCTGCGCGCTCCCGAGGAGCCCGTGGATGCGGCGTTTCCGACATCCCGCTCAGTCTCCAGGGGACCYGTTTGCACGCAGCGTGTTTCCCTGGGTTCCCATCCTGAACGCGGATGAAAAGGTGCAAAATTCCCGGGTGGCGGCTGCTGCTTTGCAGCAGGAGAGCTTCCTGCGTCCGTAGGGCCACAGAGACGCTGGGATGCAGAGGAAGGGGCAGATCGAAGCTGGAAAGGTCAAAGCTGAAAATACYGGATTGGAGCCTGGAGCATCGCTGAGCCCAGGGCTCCCTGCACTGCGCTGACTCCAAACACTGCGATTCCGGGTAAATTTGGGGCTCCTGGATGATGCAGGGCTGGTGTTTTGGCCCTCTCCTGGCAGGAGGCGCCTCTCCGGTGCTCCCTGGGGAGCTGGGGCTCCTTATGGGCCACAGCCGGAGTAAAACGTAGGAAAACAGGCGGAAACGGTCAGTGCGCCAGGCTTGGGCCCCCTGCTCTGCACTAGTGAGGTTCACCCCTTTCTCATGGATTTCTCCCAAGGGAGCGGAGCCGTTTGGGCGCAAACGCGACCTCCCTCCAAAGGCAACGCGCATGGAGCAGCGTGCGGGCCCCGGCGTCCGGGAYGGGGAGGAGTTGCCGCCTCCTCGGGAGCTCCTGCCCCACTCGCTGCCCCGTTCCCTTCCAAAAGCCGCTTTTCCCTTCCCGCTCCCCGC